GACACTAGAGTAAGACGCAGAGACGCCAAAAACAGCGGCGATCTTGAGACCTGCAAGCAGCTGAACATTGCGGTGAAGCGAGCCATCAGAAGGGACTCCAAAGTCATTGGCTTCACATTTTCCTAATCTCGACACGTCGTGAAGCTTACAAAACAAAGCTCCCGGTTTGGTAAAAACCGCTGCTACGCCCAATGGTCCGAAGATAGCTGGCTAAAACTAACTGCACGGGCGAATCATTCACTGAAACAGGACCTCTAGATTCTGCACAGGTTTTAGTGATGCAAATTCATTCATCTAGTTCCATGTGGCGGGACGATCACCCGCCACGTTGTCAACTGTGCTAGCTACGAGCTTAGGTCACCTTGCGACGCCCTTGTACCCTCACTTCCGGACAACAGCTGCCGGCGACCAGGCGCAGAATGGGCTATTCATAACGCTGCTGACATTTCCGGTCCTGATCAGCGGCTGCAGCTTCGGTCTCGACGCCAATGAACACGTGGCCGCGCTTCTTGTGGTTGATGTAGTGCACGTGGCGTGTGTGAATTAAAGCAAGTGTTGTACATATTTGAATAGATGACCTTGCTCTGACCTCGTTGTATGCAAAGTCCGGCTCTTGTAATCCGGCTTCTGATCATGGACATGAAATGTACGCTTTATACATTACACACTATATTTGTATCATGAGGCAATGTCAGATGCAAATGTCACAGACAACCTATTAAACATGACCTGCAGGGGCAGCCGTCAAGTCTTGATTGAAGGCTCACTGAATGGAACATTGTCACCCCTGGCCAGGCTACGGATTTACCGAACAGCGGCGAATGGTTTGTCCCGATTACGCTGCCGATATCTTGTCTAAAATAATATTTACCAGTGCAGTAAATGCATACCAACAGCGAAAACTCATTGTTTCTGGCATGCATATCACTCCATGGACATGCCACCTAAACGCCCCCCCCCCCCCCCTCTTACCTCCACCCGAACAAGGTCCGCACGGTCTTGCACGTCAGGGACGTTCTTTCCCAACCCTAGGATGGATGCAATTTTTCGTTGGGATTGGGGTTGGGGGGGGGGGGGGGGGAATAGCCCTCGAAATTGGTTGCAAAGTTGGCTCAAATTTACCAACAAATTCACAAGTTTTAAAGACATGGCAGATCAAAGCAGAAGATAGATCACAACGATGTTACGAGCAAATTTTGTACTCCTGTATTAGCTCTTGTAGTTGTGTATTATTACTGGCATGGGACATACCTCACGAACACTTGGCTATAACTGCTCAAGGTCATGATACTAGGTAAAAGCATGCACCCCTCAGCAGCCTGTCCCGCTTGGTCGCCGTCTCTCCCTCTCTCAGACCGCGGTCGACAGCTCGGAGGCCAGGGACTCGGGATGTCCGCCCGTTAGAACTCGGTTACGTAAGAGGAAGCAGGCGGCGGCCCACCATGTGTTGTACAGGGAGTTACCCTAGCTTCTCCCGTAGGTTTGATGCGTGGTAAGCAAAGCGGCTGCCAAAAATGGTTCTTGCAACAAAATTAAACAATTTCTTAGCCTGTTTCAATAGCTTTCGTTGTTTTGATAAAGACGTGTTGCCGAGATGCCAACCAATTTATTTTTTCCATCCTCCTGGTTTTTCTCCGAGGAATGAGGCTATTTATTTTCTCTTATCTAATTTCAGAACGTGGTTCAAACAGTTTTAAAGCATTACGATGAGCCCAAATACAGTACCAGGCGTGGTGGAGAACTAGGCGAGTGACTAACGTCGTGACTAACGCTTCCGGATTGCTTTCACAAACACGTCACAGGCTGGGCACAATATAGCTGCAACGGCGGCTCCGCGGTAACACACAGTCCCCGTGACATGACCCGGTTGACAGTGACAGCCAGGTGTTCTTGATCCCCACACACTTAAGTGATGGTGATAGCTTCCAGTAGGTTATAGCATCCGGAAGGCCGTGACTCACGTCTCACAAGTGAACGACAACAGACATCAGAGGTTCAGCAATGACACATGAAAGCTCCTTGACATGACCCAGTCGAAAGTGGAATGCGGCTTACTCAGTCCCTCGTGTATCTTTGGAGTGGTACTCAGAAAACTGACTGAAATATTTGGAGCTTACACAGGTTCTACAAGTTTGCAAAAATGATGCGTTGCGTCTTGTTTGCATTTACTAAGGGGACTCGCGCGTGGCCGTCGGCTCAACGACTTGACGGTTTTTGTCATGCGGGGAATGAAGTAACGGAGCTCGTTCTTCCTGCCGGTCACCAAACCTCCGGTGTCGGCGGTGTACTGACCTTTTTGACACACAGCAAAAATAACACTAGGTCTTTGGAAAATATCTGTAAGAGCAATGGTCCGAGAACTTACCCATGGTAGACATCCATGCCGTTCGTGGAGCGGGAGACATTTTATGTGTGTCCTCGGAAAAACGCTGGGGAGGAGGTCCCAGCACCACGCAGTCTCAAGTAACAAATTAGTATGCATGCATTTCAAGCATGCTGCATTGAAACCTCCGCCTTGTTGATGCTGTTGATGATTTCGGTGGAAACTGAGAGTAGCGTGGTTTCCTTCGATTGACGAGGACGTTAACTGTATTGGGGGGCTGGGGGAAAGGAGCTGTGGGAAATACAGCGCCGAAGCAGTCGTCCATCGACTCACTCCTGTCTTGGTAACAACTAAGACGAGGGATGTGGGCCTAAAACTGGATGGATTGGACGCATCACTGGATCTGTGGATGGGATGAGCAAGGAAATGCATGCAGAGATCGGAAACAACGAAATGGTTTGTGCAAAAATTGACAATGAGGATGATGACGTCATCAATCTCAGGAAACGCAGCCTTTTGCGCACGGATGCAGGCACCGCCAGCACCGCAGGCGGCCGAGCAGCGCATGCTTGAAAGGAATGCTGCACATTTGAAGATATTGAAGCAAGTATCAGATGTGATGAAATAAGCTCACTTATAACTTTTGGTATACTCCGGAATGGAGAAGACTGCTCTCACAAGGCTGAAGACCAGCGGAATTTCTCTATTTAGCAAATATGCTCCTCAATACGCCGCTGCTTTATTGCATTATGACAAGTTTGCATGACGTTGAGGTGTTGCCAACCTAGCTTTGCGACATTGCCGCACTACCAATCACTTGTACTCAAACCGGCCGAGAAATGGCGGTGGTGGTGCTGGAAGTGTTCCCTGAGCCAAATACCGGTATGTGCTGATGCTTTGGCCTCTTCTCGTGGTCCTCTTGCATATTCGTGAGTTTAAGATGGTTACTTGGGTTCACATGCTTGTTATGACGCCGTTCTTAAGTTAACCCATTGCTAGCCTTATTTTCGTAGCAACTGGCAATTATGTCCAACTTGCTACATTAGACAGCACAAAACGTGATTTGTGATGGCAATTTGCACGACCTGCTCAACATTGATCGGAAGTCAACTGATGTCCGAGATGTTCAGAAATCGTGCTCACAGACGTCAGAGCTGAACAGCTTGACAGTAATTTTCTTCCTGACCTTGACCGTCGCATGGCACGGGGTGACAGGATGTGAATGGCGTTGCTATGGCGCCACGCATGCCTGAGTGGCCTTAAAATGATGCGCACAAAAAAGTCCACATATTCGCAGGCGCGTGGCGCAAAAACTAAAACGTTTTAGGAAAAATCGCAAGGGCAAGGCTGAGAATTGCATCGGATAATCTTCAAAATGGCAATTCCAGGTCAACATCACATACATATGTGGCACACCTTCTTTAAGACCGCGTTTGCCGGTATTCCAAAACTGACCAGCGACAGCTCGAAAGAGCAGCGCTCAACTCGGAGACTGCGGCTTTCGAGATTGGTGGCTGGTCCGTGGGTGGCAAGCTGGGCGGTCACGTTGAGACCGACCGAAACGAAGAATTGTTTAGTTCGTCCGCAGCCATCTAATGCACCGACCTCCGCCTGCCATTATTTTGTCGCCGATCATGCTCTACCTTGGGCCACATCGCGGTCGGCCCCCGCTCGCGTAAGCGTTGCAGCCTGCCGCTCCTCGAGTAGCAGTGAAAGGCGGATTGAATGATCGATTTCTGTTTTATTGTTCCTTGGAGTCCCGTCCCAGCCCGCAAAGAGACACACGGCAGCGGGTCATGAGCTCTCTTGTACCATAGCTGTCGTAGGGGCGATCAGGCTTACACTTGTAGTTTTACATGGAGCAAACAGGCCTCCCATCATTGCCACCTACGGATTTAATCAGGATGTTGCAGATTACTTCATTTATATGCAAACCAAACTAGAGCGTGACAAAATAAAGGTCTTTCCAAAACCTTTCAGTCAAAAGCAGACGATAACGAAATCATTTACGGCAGTTCTATGAACGAAATAGTTGATGTTCTTTGCGTTGGCCTCCATACTTGGAGACAGCCTGGGCTGGGTCTGGGCGGTGAAAGCCTGCAGCTATTCATTCAGCCCAACAACACCTGTCATCGCTCATTTCCCGACGCATGCTCTGTGCTGGCAGCAGACGAAGACACATGTGATGTATACAAGCGAGATATATACCGCACATGTTATATATCATATATAGATACACGTAATCATTTTCACAAAAAACTCCTGCGTTTGCCTAATTATTTCTTCCAGAAAACTTGGCGGGAAAGCAAACTTGATTTCCAGCAAACAGAAATGTGCAACAAGCTCCTGCATTTCATCATAAACAGCGTCTAGGTATGGTGATGTGATCTCGGAATTCTTTCATTCCTTAATTACGCTCAACTGCTTTCCGACATTGGAAGTTGAGATCCAATAGCCAGACCAAGTCCAATGTACTCCGTTTGTTGTCACATTGTTTCCCGACATATGCTACCACTGCCATCAATATCCGCACGCGTATATCACGTAGGAAGCGTCTTCCTGGTAATAGATCAAATGTAGCACCTGAGTTGCATCGTCCTGCAATGTCACGTGAGCACGTGTGCCCGACCCTCGTTCGTATAAAGGCGCCAGTTTTCGCCAGCATCACTACCGCGCTCCTGTCCTGGCATAGCGGTCGGGACAGAATCGAAGAGAAATGAAGCTTATATTACTACTGGTGAGTAAATCGCAGGTATTGGTGGTTGCATGGAACGTTATACAAATAGTAGCACAACGTTTCACTCTTGCCGATTGGGGCATTGAGGTACGTGTAAACCACGAAAGGCTCGAGTTCAATAATCACTACCTGCTTGACCTGGTTTCAAAAGGTATCTGTTTCCGTACACTACAACTGGTTTTCTGGGCGCCGTCGATCTCGGCTTAAGCCAAGATGTGTTATATGTTTGGCCGATTTCGGAAAAATGACATCGGCCGCTTCCTGAACATTCCTGGCGACATTTTCGGTCGGGCAGTGCTGAAATTTTTTAACAATCTGCAGACGGCGTGTTCGCCTACGCCGTACCAATAACATCACCTCTCTCCCTGGTCTGGTTAGCGAGGTCTAACATAAACTCTATAGCACACCTGAAACTGACTAATCCAGAGTTTGCGCATAATTGCACGTGGCGGTCTGTGCACGCCGACCGACATTTCTACCAGATCGATTGTCCATTTCTCTTCCGTTTAGTTGGTCTCAGGCCGGCGGGACGCCTGGTCATGGGTATTTCCTAGACCTGGTTCTATCTCGTCGTCTTCAGAATTGTCGTAATTTGAGACTTTTGTGCTTCCCATGTTGAAGAAATAGACAGCTAAGATAACGGTGACATCGCAATGTTTGAGGACTAAGCCGCCTGATTAAAGATATCTTGCGTACTTCTTAAAAAGTTCAAGTGTAAAAAACGCAAGATAATATTTGATGTATGAAAACTACTTTCGATTTATTCAACGACACATACAGTCACATAATTCAGCATGCGCGACATCTAGCGAAAGATTGCCGCGGCGGCGGAGCCAAAATTCAACTCAACTGCTGTTTGGAGTACGCTTGCAGGTGATGCTGTTCCATCCAAGCTATACACCATCATCGAGGCAAAAATGTCAAAATGGAACTGCTCGCATGAGAAAGGAATTGTTACGTTTACTCAAAGTGGGGCTGTACTGCAAGGCCTCCGGAATGTTTCTCGAGTAGGCCATAGGCGAAAGACCGTACTTACATAAGCGTGGAATACGTGCATTTTTGTAGTTTTGAAACGTTAAGATCTCGTCATGGCTCTGGTTAAATTGGCCCCATAACTGCCATAGGTTTGTTCATGCAACACACATAGCAATCATTACGGGTTTAATAAAACCGATGATGCCGATTGATACGCACCAAAGTACCTTTATATAACATATCCAGAACAATTCAGTTAGCGATGTGTTTTAAAATTATGACAACACCTTTCGGCTCTTAAGTCATAACATTTTTATATGCATAGTTATTGTCTAGAAGCTAGAAAACATAGCGTCAGAAAACTGCAGCTGTACCATTGCCTGGTAGGCACTGAACAAAACCAACCTGTTACAGGTGTAAATGATCGTCATGTCACATTGCTCGCCAAATTTTTTGTTCTAGTGCAGATATAACAACAGTCATCGGTAGCATTTTCTGAAGCATTTTAGGAAGACTTATATAGTCAATACGCTTGTATAAACGACGGACCTGTTACTCAAGTCGACAACTTCTGGCCCCATTATAACTGATTATCAACCATCAATCCCTATTTCATCTCTCACGCCACAAAAATAACAGTCCCTTCGTGGATTTTAGTCACTAGTATTTGTTTCTATTTTTTGCCGCAAGTATCCACGCTGATGTGTTTCGCAACTCACGCTGTACTCTGTCGAGACAGGAACACACGCGCCTATTTCGAAATAAAGTTAATAGCTCGGTCTTGGCTGAATTCCATGACCACCACTGCCATGATGAGATTGCTTGATTATTAATAGCGAAAGACCGTACTTGTATAGGCGCGAGATGCGTGCATTTTTGTATTTCTGAAATGTTAATACCTTGACATGCCTCTGGCTAGATTTGCCCCATAACCGACATAGGTTTGTTTATGCAACACATATGGCAATCAGTGCGATGCTAATAAAATGGATGATATTGACTGATACAAATCACAACACGTCTGCATCTTATATCCAGAAAAAATTAAATCAGCAATGTGTTTTAAATTTTTGAGAAGAACACTCACTCCATTGTCATAAGTTACAACACTTAGAGGCCAGAAAACACAGTGCCAGAAACATTGCAGCTGTATCGTTGTCTAGTAGGCACATAAATAACTCAAAGTTATCATTTCTGTAAACGATTACCTTTTCACATTTTTCAACAAACTCTTTTGCTCTAACGCAGAGATAACAACAGTCACGAGCAACATAGACTGAAGTAGTTTAGGATGGCTTATTAACTGTCAATATGCTTGATAAAATATGACCCTGTTGCTCAGATCCGCGATTGTTTCTGCTTCCGTGCCGCAGGTATTCGCTGCTCTCCTTCCGGCGGCCGTACCGGACCCAAGGGTGCCGAGCCTGCTACCTCTGCACAAGCCCGCCCTCATCGAGATGTCGCCGGAGCGGCTGCGCGCAGCGCTCAACTGGGCGCGACACAAGGTGGCCGGGTATGAGAAGCTGGAGAAGGCCCGCGTGTTGCCGAGTGGCTCGCTCTCCACCCATCACCAGCGGTACTCCGCGAGCGACCCGGAGATCCAGTGGATGGGCCGCGAGGCGCTGGCTTGGGTGGAGGCGGCGCGCGCGCCGGCCAACCTCAGCGAGTGGGCCACAGAGGAGGAGCCCAGCCGCGCGACTCGTCCCACGCCGCGCTGCAGCAGACGTCCCCGCTTCCGGCGTCAGGACGGTGCGTGCAACAACGCAGAGAACCCTCTGTGGGGCGCGTCAGACACGCCGCTGGTCCGTATGCGGCCGGACACGTTCGAAGACGGTGTGAATGCGCCGCGAAGCCGCGGACGGTTCGGCAGCCGGCTGTCCTCGGCCCGCCTCATCAGCCAGAGGGTCACAGGCAGCTCTAACGTGGTGAACAGGAGGATCACGTTGTCACTCGTCAACTTTGCCCAGTTCCTTGACCACGACTTCACGCTGTCGCCTATCTTCGCCACCCGGTCCGGTGAGGAGCTGGAGTGCTGTCGGAACGGCCAGGTCATCACGTCAGGCCAGCACCCGCAGTGCCTGCCGATCATGATCCCGTCCAACGATCCGTTCTTCGGGCCTCTCAGACAGCGCTGCATGAACTTCGCCCGTTCCATACCGGCGGCCGGGTCCCAGCCGGGGCCGACCATCACCAAGAACGTTCTGACCGCCTTCATTGACGGCAGTGGCATCTACGGCTCACGCTCGTCTCGCGCCTACCAGCTGCGCACCCGCAGAGGCGGCCTCCTGAAGACGCAGGGGCGTAACCTGCTGCCGCGGGTGCGCTCCTCCACAGAGACGCTGTGCTTTAGCCCCGACCAGAGGAGACGGCCCTGCTTCATGGCTGGGGACGTACGCTCGAACGAGCAGAGTGGTCTCGCCATGATGCACACCATCTGGCTGCGCGAACATAACCGGATCGCTCGCGCTCTGGCAAGCATCAACCGGTGTTGGAATGACGAGCGTTTGTTCCAGGAGGCTCGTCGGATTGTAGGTGCTGAGCTGCAGCACATCGTCTACAACGAGTGGCTCCCGCTCGTTATCGGCCGGCGGTACATGCAGAAGTTGAACATCGAGACCCAGCGGCGTGGCTACTCTTCGCGGTATTCGCCGGAAGTCGACCCATCGATCGCCACGGAGTTCTCGACGGCCGCGTACCGGTTCGGCCACACGATGATCCAGGGCCAGATCCAGATGTTCCAAAGCGTCCAGAGCCCGCCCCCACCTGTCAGCCGAGCCGTCAACGTGCGTGACGTGTTCTTCGACCCGGCGCTCTTCTACGAGGGCCGGCTGGGCGAGCTCGCCATCGGCATGATCACACAAAACGCGCAGACGTGCGACGCCAACTTCGCCGAGGACCTCTCCGAGTTCCTCTTCGTGGAGAAGGGTGGCACCTTCGGCATGGACCTTGTCGCGCTCAACATTCAACGCGGTCGCGACCACGGCATCGCCACCTACAACACGATGCGTGAGCACTGCTTCCTGGGCCGCGTGGCCAGCTTCACCGATCTGCTTCGCTTCATGCCGCTCTCCGTGGTGAGCCGCCTGCGAAGTGTCTATCGACACGTGGATGACATCGACCTGTTCGTGGGTGCCGTGTCCGAGCGGCCGGTGTTCGGCGCCGCCGTCGGCCCCACCATTCGGTGCATCCTTGCTGACCAGTTTGCCCGGCTGCGCTGGGGAGACAACTTCTTCTACGACCTCGGTGGCCAGCGGAGACCGTGGCGCTTCACCTCGAGACAGCTAAGCGAGCTCAAGAGGTCCACTTGGGCTCGGGTTCTCTGCGATAATGTGGGCAGGATCAGCACAATTCAGCCTCAAGCCTTCCGCTCTCCGGGACGGGGGAACGTGATCACATCATGCAGCCGTTTACCGACAGTCAACCTGCAGCGCTGGAGGACGCGCTGTTAAGCTGGTCACATCCCCAGATATCGACACAGATGCTGATAACACAGACATGACATGCATAGCAACCATGACAAGAGACGGTTTTCATGCGCTTTTTTATGTTTTGGGGTGAGCAAAACGTGTGTGCTATGTACGCTAAAACGGTTACCATGCGTTTGCCCGTCATCTGTTTGTGTGCTTTTTGCTGTCAATGGTGCGTTGCCGATGCTTCATCGTGGAAACTGCCTTTTAAGTTCCAAATATAGCTGCACTGGTCGGGAAACAGTAGTTTGTCTCATTAACGTTGTCCTTGATCTTGCTTTTGTGGAGCTGATTCGAGCTCTGACTCACAGTGCATGAGATTGATTTCTGCTCTGATTCCCGAACAACACTACACAGCTCAAGGAGACGTGCTTAAGGTTAAGTCGATCTTGCGTGGAGCCCGAGCCCAGCACTGTTATCAAGCGACTTCCCGCACCAACCGGCGGCGCAGGAAATGTGGTGAGGAGGGCATGCGGAGACGCGTATGGCGGGTATGCCCGCTCTTTGTACGGGTATGTCATCAACGCACGGAGTGGTCGGGTAAGGTCTGAGCCTATTTAAGCCCACTTGTACATCGTTGTGAGGGGGCAGAGGGCTTCATCACATCAGTGAATGCAGTAGAGGCGGCGATGGAGCCCCGACTGTACTGCTGAGGCAGGTAATGGAGGTAGTAATGGAGAGATTTGTGCGCTCTTCTTTCACTCACCACGCGCCTATTGTTGCGAAAAGCAGAATTTTGACGTGACTCGGGTCGTGCTCTGCCAGCAGGCCTTGCCGTACGAAAATTTCGTTAAAAATTCCTTACCGTTTAGCTTCCAGGTGGTCCCTATGAAGTGTCGGACACACACACACACACACACACACACACACACACACACACACACACACACACACACACACACACACACACACACACACACACACACACACACACACACACACACACACACACACACACACACACACACACACATACACACACACACACACACACACACACACACACACACACACACACACACACACACACACACACACACACACACACACACACACACACACACACACACACCTTGATCCTTTAGTATAATAGTGTAAATGTAGATAGAAATAGAGTTTCTCTGAAGACGAATAATTTACGACACACAAACGCTGCAGTTAGCTGTTAAAAATGTTGAAGTACTGAAGACGTGACGTATATATTTGGGAGGGCGGCGATCACAAACAAGAAGACAACAGATGCAGACTAGATTTCAACCGAGACAGACTGCTCTGCAGTATGGAAATGAAACGCCAGCCTCGACCACCAAATCAGTCATGCGACTGCAGCCGTGGATTCACGGGACAATTCGGAATGTATCGCCCTCTTCCACTGTGGCATAAAGGCGCTGGTTCCCATGTGTCATGGAGACCTGTGGCACGGGGAGCCTCTGGACAGGAGCCTCTCGCGACCTGAACCGTCAAGACTGGACCTCACATGTGGAGCTCCAGTCACCGTCACGGAGCGGCCTTTCGCCGATGGTCTCACACCAGTGGTTTTCCGCTGTGTGGGACTCACGAGCACGTTGGCAGTGGGCGATTGGTACCTAAAAATCGTCGGTGACGTCTGCGAATGCGATTACTATATATTTTCACGAAATAGTCACAGTGATCACCGGCCTCGATGATCACACCAGTCCGGTCGCGCTGGTCTGTACATGGATGCTGCACTTCAACGGCCACTCCGACTCGAATGCTACGCAGGAGTTTTGCGGTGCTTTGCGCTCTGGAAACATCACACCCCGCACAGTTCCTCCGATACACCCGTGTCTTGTATGCTAGTAACTATTCTATCAAGGAGCTGGCAGTCTTGACAATAGTTGCTGAATTTATTGAGGCCACGCATCTTTATGACAACACGAAATCGGTGCACAATTTCTCAGACTCTTGCAACCACATCATAATTAGCAGCCATCCTGAATCACGTTTTTCTTTTTACGTTAATGTTCACCGATCTTTTCCAATATCACATCGATGATGACGACTGCATCGGTTCAGGTTATCATCCAGTGAGTACCTCACCAGCCATATCAAGTCGCCATCGAAAAGTGCGCTCCGTTCCGTCTTTTTTTCCTTCAGGGGTCCATCCAGTTGAGTCTGCACTGACCATGCGATTTTATTTCCACGCAGACAATTCTCAGAGAGCTGCGCATGATAACAGGTGTGGGACGGGTGCCAGAGCCACTGACGACAAACAGCCTGCAGTGCTTGCTGGCGGCTCTCGCTTCCCTCGTGCAGTGATGCGCACTTGGTAATATTGTAAGACACGCGTGGGCAGTGCTACAGGCAGTGTCCTAGATTAACTGAATTTGGGTGTAAAGCAACACCCTATGCGGAGAAATTTTTCACTCATTTTCCTCATGTTTTATGCGAATTTTTCACTCCTGCCTGACATTCTCTAATCGCACATGCCAAACCCCTATTTCACTTTCTGAGGTTTTCAGATGTCATCCAAAACCGAGCTCACTTGAAACCTTAAGGCATAAGCGAGACTCCACAGAACCTGGACACCTATGGCTATGTCCTGCCCCACCTGCATCTGAATCATGTCTTTGTATGCACAGAGCGCAGTGGCCAGGCACCTCCCAAGCCCGAGAACCCCAGCGACTCCAGCCGCTTGCACGCATTAAGTTTGGTTTGTTTACAAAATGTATCACAATCGGCAGCTGTGTGCCAAACGCAAGGTTTTCACGCTTCCCCTATTTTTTGGTCTCACCACCACACCACGGAAGCAGAGCCGGGTGCAAACACCAGCAAGGCCTAGTAGACAATTTTACTCCACGTATTTTTTTCCCGAGGAAACTTTACCACTAAATTGCATCACTCCCGAAATCAAAGAGTGAAAAATTCAAGAAATGTCTTCTAAATTAAATTTGCAAGATGAACATCACCATTTGAGCACTTTTGTTAACAGATTTTAAGTGAAATCAGCTGATCACAAAATTTTACCAGAAAATTACCAGTCTCTATATTCATTTAACTACTTTTGTTTTTCTTAGTATCATACGAGTGTGATACCACTTTGTTCTTCCTGCCTTTTTCATTGCCTTTAGAAGTGCCATCTGTTGCTTAAAATGTCGAGCAATTTCTCTGCAGGATGATTCAACTGCAATTTTGTGCGTATTTCATGCATAAATTGGATTAAGTCGCCAGCCGCCCAAGCATGTTTGATATACACCCAAGAGTGAACAATTCACAGGGAACGAAAGCAACAATTTGAAACACGGAACTTATTTTTTCCGCCATTTTTGCCCTGTTAAATCCTCGGTTAACAGTTTCCTTGGTTCATGGCGGTGCTCAATAATGATAAATCTAAGCCTTTCGGGTGTCTAACTTACCAGGCTGCCTGACAAGGTCATCCTAATGCTGCCATACAGAGCTTTGGGACAGACCTGATGCAGCTAATACAGAAGTGTTTGATGGCGAAATTCTGCCCTCTGGAGATGTTTATCATGCACACCTCTTACTTGTTTTGCATTTCAATCTCGTAGGTTGGTGGGCATGATTTATATTTATATTTGAGAGGTGAGTGGGATGGCTCTGTCTGCCAGCAGACCATGCAAAAGGTACTGACTTTTTGTTTAAGGGGAGAAGGAAGAAGCCAGTAAGTCTCCTGTGGACCAAGTAATTGCTTTGCTTGCATGCTTTCAACACATGTTTGGTAGCCAGAGTTAGCCATTTTCTGTTTTAATCCATCGAGTTTTGTCATATGGCAAAATTTGATGTCATAAGGCATCCAATGGCCTTAGTTTGTTCCATGTTCTAGATAACTTGTCCCAAATTTCTTGAAGTGGTTCCTCATGGCTGCTTTAACTAGATGTTTTCTATAGTTGTCATGGTTTGCTGACTGGCAAAGAACTGTACTGTATAAATGCACTATATTTTTAACACAGGGATACACTAAGCTGCATAGCAATTATAATCTGAGTTAAATATTAGTATGTAACAAGTAGCCAGACCATCCTCTTTAAATGTGAAGCCAACATTTCAAACTTTGTCATTAAACATGAATAAACAAGCCTAAATAGATGCATTTGCTGCAGCTGAAAAGGCAAGCAGCAATACTGGCATGGTCATCTAAAAGTTATGTTACTATTCGAGAAGACAGATTGTTTTGTGGAGGACACCTATTATTGCCCTTGACATAGGTTAACCATCGCAATCGAATTAAGTTGTTCAAAGTAATTTAAAGTGTTTTGATCTGTGTGTTGTCAACTTCTTCTGGTGTCAAAAAGCATGCACAAATGAACTGAATAAAAATACAAGTTGAAACCAGCCAAAAATTAGCTTAATCATGCTTTTATTACAAGTGCTGCTGTCAACAGAAAAGAGAGTTGAGATGATGTTCAACATATGGGCTACTCTAAGCTAGGTTAAGTTGGTTAAGTGCTTGGCAAGTGGCGATAGGAATTGTGCAAGAATCAGTAACTCACAACTGCTGCTGTGATACAAACAGGTTACGATGACGCGATGCGATGCGATGCGATGACAGGATGCGATGAAGCAAGGCCTCTTTAGGTAAGGCATAGTTAGGCTACTTTCATAGAAATGAGCATTGGTATTTTGTAAGAAATAGTGACAAAATGTTTGCTTTACCTGGCCCCATCTTAACAGAAGCCAGAGTTGCGTCTATTGTGTTTGACTTGGTGATGGGCTAATGTGTGGGAGTCCAAGGTTTTTTGTTTTTTTGCGGCGGAATTTTTCACTCCCACCCTAGTTCAAAAGCGACTCTAGCTCCCTGGATACAAGGCGTTCCGTCCATCGCTCTTCTCTTTCCCGGACACGTGCCGTTCGTGGGACGCTACCTCAATTACCTGTCTCGGGAGTACAGTTGGGGCTCCATCTCCGCCTGTACTGCATTCACTGATGTAATGAAGCCCTCTGCCCCCTCATAACAATGTACAAGTATGCTTGAACAGGCTCAGACCTTACCTGACCACTCC